TGTAGTTATTGATAATTTTTTACCGAGGTATTGATATATTTATTAATATCGTTATTGATATGTTTCTAATCGATATTGTTATAGATGTTTTTATAGAAACATTATTATCGATTCACATGGTTTTGTTCGTTTCCGTACAATTAATTACATTTTTACATTGCATTTCTTACTATTACTTTTTGCGAGTTCATTCAAATTTGCTTTTACACAGTTTCGACATTCGTTGCTCATTTATATTTCTGCTGTTACTGAGCGCCGTTTGGATTTCCGCCTACTATTATTTGCGTCTCTCCAAAACGGAAGATGAATTGGCCGTTGTATGCGGCTATCTTTTCATTAGTTTTAATACTCTAATGGGATTGTATATTTTCGTGTTTCATTGCATACAAAATGAAAAAGTAAGTAACGATTTGTCCTACCGTCTGCAGTTCATTTCCATTTATTTTCGTCTTTTTTTTTAACGTACTTCTAATATTCAATTCCTTCTACATTTGCCTGCAGATCCGTCGCGAATATCGTAAATATGTACGCCAAAACTCTTGGCTGCCTAAGTGTTTGCGCTGCTCGAAAGCCTCCATCTCCTCGGGCATAGTGGGCAATAATGGCATTGGCAGTGCTGGTGGTGTCGGCACGGGCAATGGCAGTGGTGGTACTGGTGGCACTCTTTCCGGCACGCATCGCGGCACTTCAAGCACAGCACAATTGAAGAAGTCGAAATTGCCAATAGGCAGTGATGGCTTAGTGTCGGATGAGACCGGCAATATTATATCGGCCGCTGAGGATGCTATTATTGCTTCTTCAGATTGTGAGCTGAATGACTCGCGTACTTTGACTTCAGTCGGCGGGGATGGCGATGCGGATGCAGTGAAATGCGTTGGCCCGAATATGTCGTCGTTGCAGCATGGCAAGGGCGGTCACTCTATAATTGACGCTATGCAAGGCCATATTGTGCTGGAGCGCGGTGGTGGAGGTGGAAATACACTGCATTCAGTGGGCGGCAGTGGCGGTCTGCGCACACCTAGTGCCGGTCACACTTCACCTACCTCGTCGGCTGGCTCAACGCACCTCATTTTTGGCGGGCAGAAGCAGCAGATGATTAGCGCGGGTATCACATCAGCTGGCGGCGGGCCACAGGAGGCGTACTACCATCAACCTGACTACTACGGCTGGAAGCAGCCGATGGGAAAGGCGAGCGGTGGTAATAATGCTTTGAGTTTGGCGCATCCACGCGACTACCCGGGTAATGCCGTTTCCCCGCAGCAGGCCCATGAGTTCTTTTATTGGACGCAAAAACATCAGCCGCATGGCAAGAAGAAGCGCGGTAGTGGAATTGGTGGCGATTCGCTGAGCGGCTCGTTGCATAGCCGCACCACAGCGGCCTCACAAGTGAGTTTCAAAATAAATGGAGTCTATAAATTGTAAACCCACAGATAAAAACAAAAAAATTAATTAATTTCTTTATGAACGCATAATTTTTTTGCAGCAGATTCTCTTCTATCCCTCGTACAAGAAGACTACGTTGAAGCAGCAACAACAGCAGCATCAGCAACAGTATCCTCATTACGACGAAGCGGTTGGTGCAGCTGCCTACTACCAACAGCAACAACAACATCAGCAGCAACAACAACAACATCGTCGCCATGCATCTGCAGCCATGATGTTGGCGGCACATCATCAACAGCAGCAACAGCTATCCTCAGACGAGGAACAATTAGAGCCGGCAGCAGCAGCGCATGCGCATTTGCTGCACTTAGGTCGACGCGCCGGTTCACAATTGCCACCACCGCCTGCGCCCGCACCACACGCTTTCCACTATCCCCATCACCACTCGCCAGAGTTTATGGGCGCAGCGCACACGCCGACACAGCGTTACTATAGAAATAAGCATTCCAACTGTGATCTGAGCCATGAGGAGTATGACCCGAGCGGACGCGCGGGTAGCGAACAGTACTACAATCAAAACTCCATTGGCGGTGGCGATGGCCCAGTATATGAGGAAATCCTCAGTAATCGCAATTCCGATGTCCAACACTACGATATGGATTTGAATATGTATGGTCATCACGATGATGACGACGACGATGACGATGAAGTGAATTGTTGCGATAGTGAGAGTGGTAGTGCCATGCGCCGTCAACAGAGGCAGCAACAGCTACGTCAGCGTCATCACTATGAGGCGGCGCGAAATGGTGTTTTGGGTGGCGCCGGTAGCAGTGGCAATGGAGGTGGCAGTCGATATGGCCATGCAGAGAGTGGTGCGTCCAGCGACGAGGACGACGACGACGACAATGAAGACGATGGAGAGGACGAAAGCGCGCAACGGCGTGGGTTGCCGCAGGGCGACGAACGCATGCGGCGACTGATTGCGATGCAGGATGAAGAGTTTCAGCGGCGGTTTCAGTGAGTATTGAAGAACAATTTTTCTACATAAGATATTTGCTAGCGTAGAATGAGATCTCTTAAATTGTGGGGGTTCAATGTTTTGTAGTGTTAGTAAGTTTACGCGTTATATTTGAGCGTGTAGAGGCCACAACAAATATTTAAGTCACGCTAAATTTTGATTGCTGCAGTGCTTGATTCTAATAATTTCTCCTATATTTTGCTATTTTACAGAAGGCAGCGCAAAAAAGCCGAGAACACAGTGAGCGAAAAGGCAGCAGCGGTAGCAGCTTACTTTGATCACCACAATGCAGCATCGTCAGCCGCGTCAGGCGGTAATGGTGGTGGCATAGGCGCGACGGTTTTTGGCATTAGCGGCGGTGGCAGTGGCGGCGCGGGATCAATACGCGCCTTAAAAAAGATCTCACCGAGTAATCGAATAGGCGTACACGAACTATTCACGACGACTCATGGAGGCGGTGGTGGTGGTGGACCACCTTTACCGCCGGCCAATCAGCAACAACAACAGTATCCCCTGCCAAAGAGGCAACAATTGTCGCCAACAACACTAAAGGCGACAACAGCAACAACACCGTCATCGTCGCACACTCAGCCGATTATTGGCCGGAATATTTCTGCAATGCTTGATGAGAATAATACAGTGCGCTGTTATCTGGAACCGTTGCCCAAGTGAGGAGCGAAACAGCAGCTGGACCTCGGAGGTCAGGTAGTGTAATTAAAAAAAATTAATTAGCGTAGCTGCAGAGCGGTCAGGCGGCGCTGATTTAAAGCAAAGCCGATTTAAAGACAGACATACGCGTAAGACACTAGTGTTTGGCTTTTTAGCTGTTAGTTTAAATCTCGCTTTGAAGGCATTACTAATTTTTTTTTGTATGGATGTGAGTGTATGAATGTTATACGTGTAAAGCGCAAAAGGTAATAGAGATATTTATTAACGTATAACAAATTTAGTATGTAAAGAATGAATACAACATACCGATATGCACGTATGCATGTAAATGTTTAATGATAAACTATAGAACTCCTGCTGTTGCACACCATACATGATGCCCAGCTAAGCTGAGCCAAAAAGAAGATAGCGGCAAAGCGTAATTTCCTCGCCGCCAGACATTTTGTTGTAACTCTTAAAGCTTTAAGCAACTATTTAGTAGCGTGTTTATTTTTATTTTGTTTCAAGTCTTGTTTGCTGTGCCGCCGGAAATGTATACATAACTACATAAAAGCTAGTGGAGATTACAGTTTTTTTATAATGGATTTTATTTTTTGTTGGGTTTTAGATCGGAATCATACATTACTGAAAATTTTTTACTTCATTTTGCAGTAGTTTTTACTTATGGATAATTTTTCTAAAAGAAAGTATTTACTCTGGTTTTGGACGCTTTGAAAGAAACTATTTATTATAAATTTTTTTTTTTTAATTTTCGTTGAAACTTTGGAAGTATACTTTGTAAATGCATTTTTTACATTTTTTGGTATTATTATAATTAATATCCAAATTCTAAAGAAATTTTTTCTATTCATAAAGCATTGTCGTTGACAAAAAATTAATAAAAAAAAATTTAGCCGTTAATTTAGTATAAAGCAAATGTTTAAATTCAGTTCAATTAAAATGAATGGTCTAACATTTTTTGTTTGTTCTGATATACACACATTTACATAGTTCTAAACATTCAAGGTTTTTTTCTACAATTTGTATTTATAATTATTATGCTGATGCAATTTTGATTTATAGGGAAAAAACCAAAGCTTCAACTTCTTTTATTTTTTCTATTACTCTAAAGTTTCTGTACAAATACATTTGCCTCCGTTTTATGTCGCCCTATTTTTTTACCTAACGGATACTATTTACATTTTTCGATTCGATAATTTTGATGCACTTGTTGTTGAAGCATAAAACATTCATTAAAAAGGTTCGAAGGAATAATATTGAAATTTGACAAAAAAATAATAATTATGCGTAGTGGTAAACTCTGCTGGTACAAAAATATTATATTTCGATGCATTTCACTTTCGATTCGTTTGTACCACAAAAAGCTATATTTACTTCACAAAAATTCAAACTTTTACCCACACCGAATTGGTATCAAGCAGGTACTTGGCATAAAAGTTTTATTTTTCTTTACTTTAGGACAACTTACAACTTTGGCAACTTTCTGGCATATTTTTGGCTGCTATTTTCTACATATTTTACTTTTTGAATTTTTTAAATTGTTTTTATTTAAATTTTGATAAAGTTACGTCTGAAACGAAGTTCTTAGTTTTTTTCCAAAATTTTTTACTGCCTCCAACGTTTTCTGCAGCCGAGTTCTAGTCTCAATAATTCGTATGAGGTTATATTATGCTGAACCTTCGGGTTTAACTTTCTAAGCACTATTTATCGAACTGGTTTAAAATATCGTTTCCAATTTTGATTATTTTCAGTTTATACTGTACAATTTCAAAGCTCTTGCCCTAACTAAATAAAGCTGGCATGTGGTCGAACAAACTTTAATACATTTTTTTTTACTCGAATATTTGGAGTTACTGCTGTAAATCTTGTAAAACACGTTCAATGCTTATTTTTCAATCAAAACTAGCCGAAATTGAAACTGGTCCAAATGTTATTAACATTTTCATCGTTTGAATACTTGTTTTTTCCATTCAAACTGGTTGAAATGGAAACTGGTTCTAACCTTGTATATCACTTTCGTTATTTGAATACTTGTTTTCTATCGAAATCGTTCAAAATTTAAGCTGGTCTCCCTTCTAATCCCATAAGCCTTTAGTTTGACGGACATCAAAAAAGGAGAAGGTTATCGATTCGTCGGAATATTTTTCAACCGACTTAAAAAAAAAGGGAGAAGGTTATCGATTCGTCGAATTTTTTTTTTTTTACCACGTTAACCGATTTCGATGACTTTCTATCCGAAAGGTGTTGACTCAAGGGTGGTCCCATACTAATTTAGTTTAGATCCGATCATTTGGTCATGAAGAAAGTAACGGTACTATTAAATTTTTATAAGAGGATTGAAGTCGGGTTTGTAAAAATTACTTGTTTAACTGAAATTGATTTTTTTAGGTTTCCCGAATTTGTGTTCTTGTATTTTTTATCAACCAAACTTTCCAAAGCATTTCTAATTAAGTGTAAAACATTTTGTTTCTTTTCCATTTCGATTTCCTATTTCCTTTTGTAAAAAAGAATACATGCATCTTTAATTATAAGTTAACTGCGTAAAGTGCATAAGAAATCGCTTCAATCGTACATAACTGTAAATAAACGTAACTGTAATAGGTGTACTCTTTTGAAATACCAGTAATCGCTTAAACTCCCTAAACTAAACGTTTCTAAAAAAAAGGCAGCCAGCCCTCCAACACTAGAGAAATATCCACTATAGACCTTCTTTTCGTGCTCGTCTTCAAACTAACACGTAAAACTAAAACACTATCGAATACCTCCACTCGTATCCTGTCGAACTAAAAACTAAAAATTAAACAAAAAAAAGTTGTACATTAGTGTAGCTACACAGACCTATGATAGTGAAGGAAAATAAATGTTCAAATATTGCATGTGTATATGTACATAGTTGTATTGCCAAATTGCGGGCGGAGTGTGGTTCATTGAACTTAAGCGCTGGCTGTGAAAGTCTGCCATATATACACGTAAAAAAATTTATTCTCAGCAGTCGTCACTTTTTCACAGCCTCACTGAAGTTGATTTAACCGCTCTCGCAAGGCAATTTGGAAGACGTATCAACATTCCTTACAAAAGCGCACCATTTACGAAAATCTTTCAAGTTAGAAAAAAAAATTTTTTTTTTAGTGTTTTAAAAGAATAAAGCCAAAAACTGCAAAGAAAACGGCAGGATTTTGAAACGTTTAATAGTGTTTAATAGTAGTTGAAGAAAGAAGTCGATAAACTTGAAGCAGTCAGCTGTAAATGTAAACCACTCGTGTACTTTCTCTGTATGTTGTTGTACTATTTAAAAACGGCGCACACCCAAAAAATGAAGTAAATAAAAATAAAAATAAATGGAAAATTAGCTTAACAATTTAAGTAATAAAAGAAAACTGTATTTAGTAAAAAAAGTAGCATGAGCGAAATTGCATAGTTACCTATGTATGTATGTGTGAATTTTGGCGGAGAGCGCACGGTAGTATATTCAAAATTATAAAATAGCATATAAAAATGTATAAAAATTTGCGCTTGCCCAGACACACAGAGGATTGTGTAATTTGTATACATTTAGCAAAAAAAAAGAGGATTAAAAAAATAAAGAATGATTATATAAATATTGTACTAAGATGTAGTAATAATATAGGCATTTATTACCTTATAAGTCTAAATCAAAATGCAATGCAAATTTATTTTCCAATTGTGCAGTAAATCAGCAAAAAAAAAACGGCGATACGATAGTCTTGTAATTAAAAAAATATTGCTTAATTAATTTTTGTATATGTTTTGTAAGCTTTATAAGGCAATTCATTGCTGTGTATATTAATATTTTTTATTATAAATTGTTTTGTGCATTTATTTGTTATATTTTTGTTTTTCGTTTTACTAACACGCTGCCATAGCCCTATGTAACTTGTATATTTGAAATAAAAAATAATGTAAACGAAAAAGATTAATACTACATACATAAGGTAAAAAGAAATATATATACAAACACTAAATCGAAATGAGTATTGTGTTGTTGCCGCAGACGTGAGCTAGGAGCAAATACTGAAGAAATATTGAATGAAGAGATGCTGTAAACACTTTAAATGTATATGTAAATTAGCTGTAAGTTTCGGCGTATATTATAAATATTAAATGAATAAATAAATCTATATAAACGTATATTTAAAATAGAAAAGAAAGAAAAAAAAAACAAAACAAAACGAGAAATGTATCAATCAACATGTTTGTGTCGCTAAAAGTGAGTGTTTCGAAAATTGATGATGCGCTAACATTTGCCCGCAATTGCAATGCGTTGACGCGTATGGAGTTAAAAGTTGAAATCTGGTCGGTCCCTTTTTGTATATTATTGAAAATCTATAAAAAACGTTTATCGAAGAAATTCACAGAACACAATACAGAAAAATGAGCAAAATACGGATTATAAGAAAAAAGTATATAGCAAAAAATGTTAATACATTTTTTCTAAGAGTAAGTAAAAATATGTATATTTAAATATACTAAAATCATTTTAATGTAATCTTTGAAAGGTGTTTTATTTGTGAAACGGGTGGGAAATTAGCGGGAAAAGTAAAATATAGCTGTGCAGACACGAAATTTGGTGCAAATTCAAATGGACGGCCCGAAATTCTTTGAAAATCAATTCACTCTGCGAAAAACCGACGATTTCAAAAGTCGCGCGCACCCTACTACCGCGGCGCAAGCACAAATTTCGATTTCCCCGATATCAATAGGCGCGCAGAAGTGCACAGTATATGGCTGTCATGTGGAAATATTGCGCAATATTATTTACGTTATTTTGCCAAATAAGGACACCCTGTGTTTCATTACCACTACAACGCCGTATAGCAACAGACAAAAGAAAAATAAACATTTGTGTAACTGGTCTATGCAAAACACCGCAACATTTTTTAAACACTTACAAAACAAATTTGCAAGCATTTTAAGTTAAAACTTTTTTAAAAAGAACCAGCACTGTATGTACTTCATTAATACACATACTTGCCATCTTTTGGATTTTTGAAAAATCACTTCTCAAGCCTCTACAAAATGA